TTCAAGTGCTACTCAACTGGCTTTAGGTAATCCAGTCCTTTATTAGTATAAAAGTGCTTCGTTAATCGTTCTAACGCTCGAAGTGGAGTCGAAAGAGATGAGTTTTCAGTTTGCGCCGGAAGATGTGCAAGCTATCTGCCGTCCTGATGTCAATGGGGAGCTCATTCCACCATCTTGGAGCCAGGATAGCAAACCCACGTGTTTTCGCCGATGGGAACTTGGGTCCCCCTCGTAGCGAGGAAGCAACGAGTCGTTTGGCTGATGCAGAGCGTAGTGCACGCGCTGGGGTGCACGGTTTAACCATGTCCTGGATGTAGGAAGGGCCAGATCCATTCGCAGCACGGTAAGCAAGTACCAGTGTCTTGAAGTGGATTCTAGCAGTTACCGGAAGCCAGTGAAGGGAGCGGAGGAGCGGAGTGGTGTGGGAGAATTTAGGAAGGTTGAAAACCAGACGAGCCGCTGCATTCTGGATGAGCTGCAGAGGTCGGATGGCACATGCAGGTAGACCAGCCAGGAGGGAGTTGCAGTAGTCTAGGCGTGAGATGACGAGAGCCTGGACCAGAACCTGAGTCGCTTTCTGAGTCAGCTGGGGACGTATCTCCTGATGTTGTAAAGCGTGTATCTGCAGCAGCGGGTTGTAGCAGCGATGTTTGCAGTGAAGGACAGGTTGTTATCTAGGGTCACACCCAGATTCCTTGCAGTCTGAGTCGGGGAAACAACTGAGGTGCCGATGTTGATTGTCAGGTCAAGAGTTGGACAATCTTTTCCCGGGAGGAAGAGCAGCTCAGTCTTGTCAAGGTTGAGCTTGAGGTGGTGAGCAGACATCCACTGAGAGATGTCAGCCAGACAAGCAGAGATGCGCGCGACGACCTGGGTCTCTGAGCGGGGAAAGGACAGAATTAATTGGGTGTCGTCAGCGTAGCAGTGGTAAGAAAAACCATGCGGGCTAATGACTGATCCGAGCGAGTTTGTGTACAAGGAGAAGAGGAGGGGACCAAGAACAGAGCCCTGAGGGACCCCCGTAGTTAATTGACAAGGGTCGGACTCAGACCCTCTCCAAGTCACCCTGTAGGTACGGTCTTTCAGGTATGAGGTGAGGATGGAAAGTGCAGAGCCTGAAACTCCAAGTTTTTGGAGAGTGCGAAGGAGGATCTGATGATTCACCGTGTCGAATGCAGCAGACAGGTCCAACAGGATGATGACAGAGGAGAGGGATGCAGTTTTGGCAGTGTGCAGTTCCTCCGTGACAGCAATGAGAGCAGTTTCTGTGGAGTGACCTGCCTTGAAACCAGACTGGTGCGGATCCAGAAGGTTGTTCTGATTGAGATAACAGGAGAGTTGTTTAAAGACAGCGCGTTCAAGTGATTTAGACAGGAACGGGAGGAGAGAGACAGGCCTGTAGTTTATAACATCAGACGGGTTGAGAGTGGGTTTCTTTAGGAGAGGGTTTACTCTTGCCTCCTTGAGACTGTTTGGAAAGTGACCAGAAGTTAGAGAAGTGTTGATGAAATGGGTGAGAAACGGTAGAATATCAGGAGCGATAGTCTGAAGGAGGTTTGAAGGGATAGGGTCCAGAGGACAGGTGGTAGGGCGGGCAGAGGTAATGAGGGTAAGAACCTCACTTGGAGAGAGAGGGGAAAAGGAGGTTAGTGTGTTGGTGGAAGGAGGGTCTGGTGACCCAGTGGTGAGTAGAGGTGAGTCAGAAAAAGAAGAGCGAATATCATTAACCTTTTTTTCAAAGTGGGTAACAAAGTCGCTTGACAGAAGTGAGGAGGGGGGAGGAGCTTTTGGAGGGTCCAAGAGGGTGGAGAAGATGGAAAATAGTTTTTTAGGATTGGAATAGGAATATTGGATCTTATCTTGAAAGAAAGTGCTTTTTGCTTGAGAGATCGAAGCAGAGAAAGAGGAGAGGAGAGCTTGATAGGTTAGGAGGTCGTCACGGTGTTTGGATTTCCACCATTTCCGCTCTGCTGCCCTAAGGACGGTTCTATTAGCACGCAGTGCATCATTTAGCCAGGGAGCCGGAGGGGACTGACGAGCCTGCCGAGATGTCAGAGGACAGAGCGAGTCCAGAGTGGATGAGAGAGTAGAGAGGAGAGTTTCTGCAGCAGAGTTTGGAGGCAGTAGTTGGAACGAATCAGAGGAAGGGAGGGCTGAGAGCACCGACGAGGCAAAGGTAGAGGGAGAGAGGGAGCGAAGGTTACGGCGGACAAGTGTAGGATGGGAAGAGATTAGTTTGTTATATTTGGAAAGGGATAGAGAGAATGAAATGAAGAAGTGATCGGATGTGTGGAGCGGGTTTACAGAGAGGTTAGAAGTAGCGCAGTTCCTTGAGAATATGAGATCAAGGACATTGCCAGCTTTATGAGTCGGTGGGGACGGAGAGAGTGAGAAAGCAAAGGCGGTTAACAGAGATGTTAGTTCGTCTATCTTCCCCGTCTGGAGGTTGAAGTCTCCGAGAAGTACAGCGGGAGGGCCGGTTTCAGGGATGTGTGAGAGGAGATGATCTAATTCCTCCAAGAAGTCCCCCAAGGCGCCTGGTGGACGGTAGAGAACAACAATGGTTAACTGTATAGGATGGGTTACTGTGACGGCATGGAACTCAAAGGTGGAAGGAGTAAAGTTAGGTAGCTTGAAGAGGGAAAAGCTCCATTTGGGAGAGAGCAGGAGACCAGTGCCACCTCCTCTGCCAGTGGGTCTGGGTGTATGGGAGAAGGATTATGCAGTGGAGAGAGCTGCTGGGGTGGATGTGTTGGATGGAGTAATCCAGGTCTCAGTGAGAGCAAGGAAATCCAGAGACTGCAGGGAGGTGTAGCCAGAGATGAAGTCAGCCTTAGGAACAGCTGACTGGCAGTTCCACAGGCCACCTGAAACTAGATGTTGGATCTCAGTGGAGCATGTGGGATAGACGAGAGCAGGCCGGTTATATCGATTACGAGATACACGGGGCCAGTGATAATTGCGAGAAGACACGGGGCCAGTGATAATTGCGAGAAGACACATGAACAGGAATGGAGAAAATACACATGATTATAGCATGAGGGGCTAAACAACTAAATTAAAAAGTAAAAACACCAACGATACTTAGCTCAATCAAAGTAGGATTTGCCTCCTCTTTGCCTCCCTCGTGACTCCTGTAGGACTCTAATGTCTTTGTCAGTCTTACTCCTGTAGGACTCTAATGTCTTTGTCAGTCTTAGCCTGTCTGCCGCTGAAGCTGACGCTCCAGGAAAGAGCTACCCGAAATGGACGCCTGATTGCTCAGTTCTCACAGCTGAAGTTAATTAGTTAACTATCTACAGCTGATGGGCGACAATAGACTGGCCCTGCCTATGTTAATAATGCAGGCTTGAGTGCTGAGAGCTGTAAAGCAGGTTTCGCCTGAGCAGATCTGAGATTTAAAATCTCTCAAAAGCGATTTAGCCGTTTAAGCTACAGTAACAATTATACAGAGTCGAATAAATGAAACCGAGAAGTCTAATTAAACAAGAATATAACTTACAGTGGTTGCTGCGTCAATAGGTAATGTTGTCACCGGGTCCAGATGTACACTGAGTTCATCAGTTTCTAAATGCGGTATTTAAATGCTTTTTGAGCTAAAGGATGACTGAGTCATGCGGTTCTACTTCACGCAATCAATAGACTGGCCCTGCCTATGTTAATAATGCAGGCTTGAGTGCTGAGAGCTGTAAAGCAGGTTTCGCCTGAGCAGATCTGAGATTTAAAATCTCTCAAAAGCGATTTAGCCGTTTAAGCTACAGTAACAATTATACAGAGTCGAATAAATGAAACCGAGAAGTCTAATTAAACAAGAATATAACTTACAGTGGTTGCTGCGTCAATAGGTAATGTTGTCACCGGGTCCAGATGCACACTGATATACAAGCATCTCCCCCAACCTCCACCGCTACCATTTCTCCCCCCATCTCCCTTGACCTCCTGACTCCTCCTCCCCAGCGCCGCCTCTCCCAGTTCAACCTGGTTACCCCACTTGAAATACTCCATCTGATCGGTTCCTCAAATCCCACAACCTGCTCCCTTGACCCTCTACCCACTCCTCTCCTGAAGTCCTGCCTCCCCGTCCTCTGCCCCTATCTTGTTAACCTTTTCAACTCCTCGCTGTCCCATGGAACCGTTCCATCTGCCTTCAAAACTGCTGCCGTTACTCCAATCCTCAAAAAACCTACAAACTATGTTTGTGGTTAGAGGTTCCGCCGGAAGGCCATACAGTTTTTGACCACACACACGGACCAGACACGGAGAACACACACACACACACACACACACACACACACACACACACACACACACACACACACACACGGTATGGTGAACGATAGAAATAATCAAGTTAAATGGAAACCAGTGAAAAGGAAATAAATGGACTGAATCGAACTGGAAACTTTGTTTCGGACCTTTTATTCATCAGCAAACTTTGGTACTCACTGTACCTTCTGCCCGCCTGACCACCATGGGGTCAAGAGCCTTCAGCCACTCTTCCCCCCGTCTCTTTCTCTCACAAGACATCCGCAATATGGACTCACTCTCAACCTTCAAATCCTGCCTGAAAACCCACCTTTTTAAACTGGCGTATTCTATTTGATAATTCCTCTAAACTGATTGTTGTTTTTAAGTCTTTGTTTTTTAAGTCTCGAATTACTGTTTGACCTTCTTTGTTGCTTGTTTTTGATTATGCTTTGTAAGGTGTCCTTGAGAGCTTTGAAAGACGCCCATAAATAAAATGCATTATTATTATTATAAAGTAGCAATACATGAAAATATTAAAGTCAATTTCAAATATGTAAAAAAAGGTACTCAAGTACAACACTTGAGTAAATGGCATTTGTTACCTTCCACCACTGCATATAGATATGCATAGTGTCATAATGTGTTACTGTTTATCAACAGCCAGTGATTCACTACAAAATGTGGCTTTTATATGAATTAACCAGCATCATTGTGTGATGAAACTTGTGTATTCATTTTATTTTGTTCTCCAGGACCTGACAGCCATCGGAGTGACCAAACCTGGCCACAGGAAGAAGATCTCCCTGGAGATCGGCCGGCTGAGCCTCCCTGAGTGGCTGCCTGACTACACTCCTGTGAGGAAACATCATGGTCACACGCAAAATCTTAGAATCAGTAAAGCACCACGTCCAGGATGGTTCTGACTTCTGTCTCTGTTTCGTGTCTGGTGCTCACAGTCGGAGCTGGGGGAGTGGCTGAGTGTGATCGGACTGCCTCAGTACCAGAGGAGGCTGTGTGAAAACGGCTATGACTCCATCTCTATCGTCAAAGACATCACGTGGGAGGACCTGCATGAGATAGGCATCACCAAACTGGGTGAGTTTTCTGAAATGTTTATGTTTATGTTTATTAAGGATCCCCATTAGCTTTTGCTCTTGACAAAAGCTACTCTTCCTGGGGTCCGACACTTAAAACAATACAACAATAATACAACAGTAATACAGCAACATTCAGGACATAAGTTCTGACATCATTAACATCATTAATAACATTAACAACATCACCAATATCATCAACAATCTCCAACATCATCAACAATGTCATCCACTCTCAATATCAATCTCAGCCAAGGATGAGTGCACAAGACACCCACCAGTACAAAGCATGCAATCAAATTAAATTAGGGTTCACAGCTCACAAGGGTACATGGTCATTAGTAGATGGCCCTTCAATCTCTTCTTGAAAGAGGCTCTGGACTCTATTTCAGTAAGGTAGTTTGGCAATGAGTTCCATTATAGCTCTATAAGACACAGAAGAGTTCAGAAGATGTGTCCTGGGTTTAGGGGCCAGTAAATGGCCTGATGTAGCTTGTCTAGTCTTATGGTCATGCTCGTCTCTTGTGTAAACTATTTGATCATAAAAATACAGTGGTTTTTTGCTCAATTGGACATTTAAAAAAAAAGTGATAACACGAGATTGCAGACGTTTCTCAACTGGAAGCCATGATAGGCTTCTATGCATAACTCCAATATGATTGCGCTTCGAACAGTGGAGAGCTAGTCTGGCAGCCTTGTTTTGAGCTATTTGTAATTTCTGTAAATGTGTTTTTGCTGCTGATGACCATATGACCGGACAGTACTCAAGATGTGACAAAACCAGAGACTGAATGACTTGTTTCAAAGTGGTTGGTGTTACATACTTTGTACATTTTCTCGCCACAGCTATGCTCCTTCCCATTTTAGTTACGATACTGTCAATTTGCTTTGTCCACCGTAAACCAGAATCAAGAACAATGCCAAGCAGCTTAGTCTCGTTTACCTGTTCCACTGGCTGACCAGCCAGCGTCAGGCTTAATTGAGGATTGCTGCTTAACATATGTCTGGATCCGAATACCATTGCTTTTGTTTTTGCAATGTTGAGTACCAGTTTGTTATTGTTGACCCAGTCTGCTATGGCTTTAATCTCTATTTTAAGTAGATAGTTTAACTCACTACATGTTGATGCTGTACTGTACATCGTGGAATCATCAGCATACATTATTACACTGGACTTATTTAATACGTAAGGAAGGTCATTTGTGAATATAGAATACAACAAAGGCCCAAGTGAACTCCCCTGTGGGACCCCACACTGCAACACCTTACTTTCAGAAAAGCTCCCATTGAAAAACACTTGCTGCCTTCTCCTAGTCAGGTAGCTCTCCATCCAACACATAGCAACAGAATCAAAGCCATAGCATTTGAGTTTGTTCAGCAGCAGACTATGATTCCTTGCTCTGCATGTCTGTGGTCTCAGTGGATTCACCTCTCCTCAAATCTGTGTGTGTCCATTAATGCTAGCAGGAGGCTAAACTGTGCCTCCACACAGACTTGACACATTATGGTGGGCTTCAGACTCCAACAATCACTTGATACATTTCCACTCTACTTTGAATATACAACGTAAACATTCATCTATTTTGTATATTTTTTAGCAGTGAACACAGTACTTCAGTAAAGACTGCTTTAAATCATCGCCTGCATAACCTCCACACAAGTGGGATGTTAAATCAAAGCATTCAATTAACAGACTATTTTATCTGCTAATGTAAACTTTAGGGCCGGGACTTTAACGCGTTAATTAAGATTAATTAATTACACAAAAATTAACGCGTTAAATAAATTAACGCATTTTAATCGCACTTATTTTTGCACCGCGGAGCGTTTCTCACTGGATGAGTTTCAGGCGTACCGATTATACTGGAGCACCAACTAACGTTCATGACTTCAGACAACAACAAACCACAGTGAACAACAGTGGGAAATATTGTTTTAAAAAACGGACGGATGGAAGCGTTGATAAGAGCACGGTTGTGTGCAAATTATGCAAAAAGGAATTCGCATATCACCGCAGCACATCAAGCCTCAAGTATCACCTCAATGCAAAACATATAGCAGCTAGCGTGGAAGCTAGCGTGGACGTTAGCCTCTTTTATCGCGTTCACACCATACAGTCTATGGTTCACACCAAAAAGAGCCGGTACTAAAATTAGTTCATGAGAACCTTTTTACCCCCACGAAAGTCCCTGCTAGAGAGCAGAGAGCTGCTAGAGAGCAGGGACTTTCGTACGGCTCTTTTGTGAGAAAAGAGCTATATTTCTGATTGGCTGGGCGGATTGCAAACCACGCCCCGTAAAACTCCCAAAAAGTTTGGTGAAGCCGCCATTTTATTATCCTCGCATTAGCATTATTAGCATTAGCCCAGCGCAGAAACGCAGAGAGACTAACTTATGGCAACACAAAATAAAACATGGGAGCGGTGGAGATGAGGAGGTGTCGGCGTTCTGGCGATTTACTCGGAAGGCTGCTGGGACTCCCAGCAGCTTCTACTGAAGCCAGTCCCCAACTCCGGGGACTTCCGGCCGGGGACTTTGGGCGGCAGTATACGCCGTGAAGTGGTTTGCGGCCTGCCAGTAAACCCGAAGAAGAAGAAGTGACGTCAGCGGCTTCATTTGTTCTCATGAACCTTTGTGGGAAAAGTACTGCGGTGTGAATGCGCCTAATGGTATACTAAAATCCATGTGAAAAAAATTGCTTCTCACTGTTCTCAAGTCAAATATTTATATGCGATTAAAAATGCGATTAATTTCGATTAATTAATTACAAAGCCTCTAATTAATTAGATTAATTTTTTTAATCGAGTCCCGGCCCTAGTAACTTATACATGTTGGTGGTGATTCATTGAAGACCACTTTTATGGGATGGCAGCACTAGCAGTTGGATACATTTACATGGATCAACTCACACTGTGAAAACTCACAGCACAGCGTAGTGGGGGTGCCAGGCATTAGTGGTGGGGGTCCAGCAGCCATCATATGCCTGTGCGAAGAGTAAGAGTAAGGTCTCGCTTTAGTAATGCGGTGCGTCGACTCTAGGGCCAATCCTGTGACCAACATAGAAAACAATGGTTAAAACGTTAAAACACAATAGTCTGAGTAACCCCGAACGATGAGAAGGACCGTGTGTGTGTACCTATGTGTGTGAGTTTTTGTGTGTTAGAGTGTGTCGGATACCGGCACTTGATAACATGAGAGCAGAGGATATATATGACCATGTGGCATTTTAGCAAACGACATGAAAACAGGAAACACTGGACATGTGTGTAAGCTCTGCGTGGCCCTGCACTGAAATGCTCCTCCGTATTAACCATAGAGCCATAGTTATGGAATGAAGGACAGAAATGTGCCGGGTTTTATTGGTTGTTTCCTGTTCTTGGGTTCTTAAAGTGTGCTATGAAAAACAGCCACAGCTAGATGCTCTGGTGCTGCGCTGCTTACACCTTCAATCAACTGAGACACAGACTGGCCATGTGTCCGACCCTATGAAGGCCAATACAGCTCCTCACAGTGCAGTGTGTCTGAGGAGAGGTGTGTGTGTGTGTGTGTGTGTGTGTGTGTGTGTGTGTGTGTGTGTGTGTGTGTGTGTGTGTGTGTGTGTGTGTGTGTGTGTGTGTGTGTGTGTGTGTGTGTGTGTGTGTGTGTGTGTGTGTGTGTGTGTGTGTGTGTGTGTGTGTGTGTGTGTGTGTGTGTGTGTGTGTGTGTGTGTGTGTATTCAGGTAGATCTCTCTCTCTGTTTCAGGCCACCAGAAGAAGCTGATGTTAGCGGTGAAGAGACTATGTGACCTGCAGCGTTCTCGTAACCATGCCGACAGAGCTGGAGGCGGGACCCTCCAGCGCAAGCCCCCCGCAGCCCTGGAGCTGGTGGCCATCGAACACACACCAACACACACTCTGCACACTCACACTCCTTCTGACGACTGCTGCCCCTCCCCTCGCTCCCCCAGGACCCTGCTCTCCTTCCAGGACAGCGAGCTGAGCGCCAAGCTGCAAAGCGCCATGATGGGCAGGGCGCTGGGGGGGTCTGCAGAGGCGTTCAGCATTAGGGTGGGCTCTGCAGCAGCCATGTATGTCAGTCAGGAGAGCATCAGCACGTGGTCCCGAGGCTCCGGGAACTCAAACTCAGGATGTTCTCGAAACCCCTGGAATGCAGGGACCGCCATGCACTCAGAGGAGAGTGGGGGGGGGGAGGAGGGGTGTGGGGGGAGCAGTCCTGGAGTCAGGAGCAGATACAGACCCTCAGAGATGTTGGAGCGCTGTCGCTCAGCCACCCCCAACAGTGTCCCCTTCGCCCCCCTTATCCCTCCCATTACTCCCTGCAAGATGCCCCGCATTGCCTACCCGCCCCCACCCCCCAAGACCAAACACCTCCAGCCCTCCTCCCCCTCTTCTCCATCCCCGCAGCCTGCCCCCACGCAGACGGCCTTCAATTACCTCCACGCCAAGGCGGGGGGGGTCAGTGGGGCCCCCTGGCTGCTCTCCATGCCACTGCCTGGACCCGTCCCTCTGCTGGCCCCACGGCCTGCCCGGGACCCGGCTCGCGAAGGTCCGAAGGGCGGCCCTCACAAGAAACGCGCCCAGAGCCTGACCCGCTACGCTCTGTCTGACGGAGAGCCAGACGAAGAGGACGACGCGCCCCCCCCCTGCTCCTCAGCCCCCACCTCAGCCATGCCCTCCTACGCCACGCTGTCCCGCAGGCCGGGCCGCGGGCACACCAGCGCCGCAGGGGCGGCCCAACGCCACATCAACCGCAGCCAATCATTCGCAGTGCGCTCCAGACGCGAAGGCCCGCCCCCAGTCCCCCCCAAGAGGATGAGCTCTGTCAGCAGTGGCCCGACATGCAGTACCAAAGACGGGAAAGAGTCAGAAATTAAAACCGGGTTGGGGGCGGAGGGCCCTGGAATCGTGAAGAGCATTGCAGCTCGACTGGAGGGGGGGTGCAGTAGTCCATCCAGGAGGATAGACATGCCCCCCCCTCAGACCCCTCTGTCACCTGTCTTCCTTCCTGTGTCCTCCCCCATTCCTCACATCCTCCTTCAGCACAAAGCGGCCCCTGCTGTGGACCTGGAGGGCCTGAAGAGGACAAATGTAGAGCCTGACAGACAGAGAGGGGGGGGCACAGAGGAGACACCTGGAGAGAGAGCTAGGAAGAGTGAGAGAGTGTCTCGGGGCGTTCCGTCTCCAAACCACAGTGTGGGGCATCTCCCATTCGCTGAAGAAGGAAACCACACCATGAAGCAGCGGGCCCGGGGAGCTGTGGCCCCCCCCGCTGATGCTGAAGTCAAGACTCCGACCCCCCACACCCTGGAGCTCCCAGAGTTCAACCTGAAAGAGTCCGACACGGTGAAGAGACGACACCGACCCAGAGACTACAGCGATGTCAGGGTGCCCCCCCCCAACAGAGGCAACAGCGATGTCAGGGTGCTGAGCAAGGATCCAGCTCAGGGGCCGGGGGATGTGTTCCAGAGAGAGGGCTCTATTGGAAAAGGCCCCAAGCCTCCAGTGTCCTCTAAACCTTCCAGTCCTCTTAACCCCCCCCCAAACAGCAGACCAGCACCCCCCCAGAAAACATTCTCCACAGGACGAGCTGGTGCCCCAACAGCAATTCCTAAACTGACCAGCGTTCAGGTCCACACCGTCTCCCCGAAGCTACACACACACACATTTGCACATTGCCCCAGACCTGGGAGTCCCCAGAAAGCTGCAGCCAGGCCCCCACAGCCCGGCGCGGCCCCCCCAGCACCCGCAGGTAACGAGACTCAACCTGCCTTCTCAGGAAACATATTTTGGCCAAAAATGCTTCATTAAATAAGGGATAATGTGCAGCGAGGTGGTCATTATGGGTAAAAGAACACCCGACAGGCTGATCAGGAGCCCAACGTGAAGCGGAGGGATCTTGATCAGAATGTGGCTTATTACATGGCCACATTCTCAACAAAGTAACAACATGACTCCCAATATTAATTGAAATGCTTTTATAGATTTAAAAAATAGTTTTATTGATTTAAAATGACATGCATTCGCTAAGAGAAATAGTCCGTTGTTACCGTTTGAACTGCTTCGATAGCGTTTTGATTACAGATTTGCAATCATCGTTGCTTGCTTTAAAATAGCACAATTCATGATGTCAAACCTTGGAAAGTATCTATATCCCTGCCCTAATGCCAAAGTAACTGGCAACTGAATATGTTTTGCCGTTTGATGTCTATGTCTGGACCGCTGCGTACAAAGGACCGCAGCTCCGTGTTGAGGGTTTCTGCCCCGTTACTTCTCCGCTGTTTTCTTGTCCCTCTTGTCTTTTTCTTTTCTTCACTGGGGACTCATCAGCCACTAACCATTCATCCAAATTACTGTGCTCACCAAATATATTAAAATTAATAGAACTAACCCGGTAGACAACGGAAAACTAAAGACAAGCAAACAGTTTGACCATGTTTCGACCAAACTGTATACAGTTCAATCAACCGGACTTCTTTCTGCAGATGTGAGCGTCCTTAACAACGGTCAATACATCCTTGAGAGCGGTCTGTACTACTGGATTAACAATGTGTCACGTGTTCTGAATTGACCAATCAGAATCGAGTATTCAACTAAACCATGTAATAATGTTAAATACCGGATTACTGCTTGTCTCTCAGGACTGAACCTCACCAGGGCCCAGAGCGCTGCGTCCAGCCCCCCCTCAGCCCCAGGGGGGGGGGGCGGCAGGTCTGGAGGTTCTGGCTCAGCAGAGGCTGGAGCAGACCAGCACGTCCCTGGAGGAAGCTCTCAAGGTGGTGGAGAACAAGGGGGGCGATGTGGACAGGTAATTGATACTAATCAGGGTTACACAATCTCCTGGGAAACTGCAAGGTGGAAACCTTCTATGAGAAATAACAGGAAGTCATTGTAAAATAAAAATATTTGCGTTATATGCTATATATTTTACATTTTATACAAGTACTATACAAAATGCAGTTAGCATCTAAACAAGCAGAAAGTGGTTATTCAGGCATAAAAAAAAAAATGTATATATACTTATACATTATAAGTAGGTATAAACATTATAAACAGCAGTATAGAAATGTAATACACTAAAGATCAGGTATACAAATATAGAGTATATACAGACACTATCCACCAAATAAATATGAATATAAGGTAGACCGTTAATGACAATATGAATAAATATGAGTATGCTAAAGAAAGATTGAGTCATTTAAACCGTTAAGGCATCAAATTCAGATAGGAACTTACCTTTTCAGCCTACCATAATCAGACATGATTTGTCCATCTATTTCAAAATGTGTCAAATACCGGGTGGTTATTAAGCTAGCTAGCAAGTGAACTGCTGGAGAAAGGTATTTGGAAAAAACACGTATCCTTTTATCATTGTATCATCATAAGGAACATTCATTTTAGAAATGAGCGTATGGGGGTCATCATCACATGACTCGTTTCCAGCAGCTCTGTAACAGTCCTGTGTCCCACAGCTCAGTGAAGGCAGCAGGAAACATTCTGGACCACATCAGCAACATGTTCGATGACCTGGCTGACCAGCTGGACGCCATGTTAGAGTGACCCCCCCCCCCCCAAACTCTGCCCCCCAGTTTCCCAGATATCAGACAGATGATCCTTTGATTAAATAACATAGATACTTTTATAGAAGTGCACATTTTGAGGATTTCCTGCACAACTGTTCCTCATTATTGCCCAGTTTTTCAACGTGAGCCCTTTGCCTCAGGACCCAGCTGATGATGCAACACTCCGGAGCAGCAGGGTGTCCTCAATCTAGGGAATGAGAGTCCATGGAGTTGGCCTGTAAATGTATCACTGTGTCAGATAGAGTATATTTATGTCTTTATTTTTGTATTAACAAATACAGTTCGTATAATTTCACTGTTTCAATCGTTCTCATATATTAGCACAACTGTGTTGTAAATATGTTATTGTTTATAACATAAGGCAAATATAGTTATGTGGTATTTATAGTAGCGTATTTGATTTGACAGTTGTTTACAGCTCTTCTCTCTCACACAATGGAGATGCTTTTAAACATTTCAGAGGCAGTGACGTGTGTCGGAATATGTTGTTCGTTTCAAAGTGACTGAACACTAACACAGAATTATTAAAGACTTTTATGTTAAAATATAATAAATTAATAAATTATAGTACATTTAAAAAGCATTTAAACTATGCATTATAAAAATGAAAGTTGTTCAACTTTTTTCATTTTAATTAATATTTCCAATGAATTGTGCGTCATCCTGGAAATCATTTAAAGGACAATTTGCTTAACCCCCGCCTTCTCATCCTGGGTGATGCCATTCGTTTATAAAAAATATATATTGATTCATGATCAATTTACTGTTTCAAAGGTGAATAGTGCAACAAAAAGCAGACTTGGTTATCTGCCCATCAATGTAACGAGCAGCAGAACAATCACACAAACCACTGAGGAGCTTCATTTCTCTCAAGTGAGTCGAATAAAACGTTTATTCATGTATGTACAATCATCCACACTGAAGACACACTACTTCTCTCTGGCCTTCTAGTTAGAGTGGGGTTACGACTCCTGACTGTTCCATGTGTTGTTTTTATCTGTTGTGATTTATTGTGATGTAATGTGTTTAAATTACATGTACAGCACTTTGGCTCGACCAAAATCATTTTTAAATGTGCTCTACAAATAAAACTTGATTTGATTTGATCCATCAAGAGCCAAATGAAAAATAAAATGTGATTACCTTGAATAATACAGGATTTCAGACGCAGTCCCTCACATACATCATGTTGGCAGTACAGAGTTATTCATATGAGGCAGAGATATTCTTTCATTATAGTTGCCGATTGCATTCATCAAAATCTGACATTTAAAATTCAACAGTCTTTCCCCTATGTCCTATTAATCCTTTTGTTGTCCTTTTCAAGTGCAAACTACATTATTTTTCTCTTTAAAACATTTTTCTTAAAGTATTATCATTCTTTCCTGTGTGTGACCATTATTAAAACAAAGTGGAAAAGCTAAATTAAAAAAATCATCAAATAATACTGTTTTCATGAGTCCACAGGAATCTGGTGTCTCTCAAAAGTGAAAACCAAATCCACATGGCAGACAGGAGCGGAGTGAGGTTGAGGGCGAGCAGGGTAAGGGTAGAGCTGGTGAGGGTGAACATGGAAAATGGACGGGGGGTGGAGGTGGTTTATAAGTTGCCAAACAGCTCGTTCCTCTTGTTCCAGTCCATGGTCGGAGCTTTTTTGGCCGATCGCTTCTGACGAGCTCTCTCTTTAACCTGAGCCAGAGACAAGCTGAGACCCAGACTGTCAGCCGGGGCGGGGGGCTCCACCTACACACACACACACACACACACACACACACGTCAACATTTTCTATCTCTATTGGACGTTGATTGAAATTAGAGAAACGATTCATACTTGAATAGAAATATGATAAAAGTTCCAGATTACCAATAATTGTAGTTACTGTATATTCTTTTTTTCATTTGAATATCAGTAAAGCAAAATATCTGATCACATTCTTTACTTTATTTTTACATCAATATCAACATAATGGTCAGGTACAGCTCTTACTAAAATCCAGGACCACTAAGTATTACTGTACTGTTGTAAAATATCAAAAGTCAAATGATGTCTTCAACTCAAATATTACAGTTTGTTTTGTGTGACATATCTCCAAAAAGATCTCTACGTAATTTCCTTGAAATGTTTCCGCTTTATTTACTAAGTCCGAAACTTTTTGGAACCTTGAAACGTCATGACTTACAGCATATCCATTATTACTGCTATCAATTATTTTAAGGGTATTCAAATGATTGGCTGTATTTCTGCAGTGAAATCTCATTAAATTCATTTATTCGATTTTTATATTTTTTTATTGCTTATTTATTTTTATTGACTTATTATGCAGCAGTATAAAGCTGACAGGAGGGGGGTGAGGAGCTGTTCTGTACCTGGGGAGGGGGCTCGCTGCTGCCCAGCCCCTGCAGGGACGCGTTGGAGGACACGCTGGAAGCTGAAGAGCTCACAGAGACTTTGGGCTTCACCTCTGCTGCCACCTGCTGACAGAGGAGCATTCACACTGACTGAAAGGGCCAATATGAACTGATCAATGCATCAGTTGTGGTGACATGGATATATGTGTGACGCTAACTAGCTAGCTGGACGTACTGCACTGTTGTTTACACTTATTTTTAATACAATTCAGAAGTTTACTAAAGTCATACAGAGATCTTGCCTCTGTTATACACTGAAAAAATATATAAATGCAACACTTTTGTTTTTGCTCCCATTTTTCATGAGATGAACTCAAAGATCTAAAACATTTTCTATATACACAAAATAACCATTTCTCTCAAATATTGTTCACAAATCTGAAAAGATCTGTGATAGTGAGCACTTCTCCTTTGCCGAGATAATCCATCCCACCTCACAGGTGTGGCATATCAAGATGCAGATTAGACAGCATGATTATTGCACAGGTGTGCCTTAGGCTGGCCACAATAAAAGGCCACTCTGAAACGTGCAGTTTTGCTTTATTGGGGGGGTCTGGGGGGGTCCGAAAACCAGTCAGTATCTGGTGTGACCACCATTTGCCTCACGCAGATACACATATACACACACACTGCTTTCCTCTATGCTGCAGACCACTGGGTCGAGACCTCGGTTGATGGGGGGATTGTTGAGGATCTTTTGAGGACATTTTGTGACAAGTAGTTTTTAATTTTTTTTGGATCTATGATTCTGAAATACAGTTTTAGTCAACTTCATCTTGTGACGCTGAACCAGAAACAGAAAACTAGCTCTGTTCAGAATATATTATAACAAACTTAAATGACTATAAATACACTACAATACTTTTTTGGAGTGCAGGACTGTGTACAAACATAGGAGTGAGAGCAGACGTTGTTAGAATGCACACTCACACACATGTTATGTAAGGGCTGCTGAATGAGGGATTGTTGTTGCTCTGCAGAATGTGTGTGTATGTGAACAGCTCGCTATTCTTCTCATTAGCATAATCCCCAACGAGTTAAAGCCACTTCAATCCCATGATCCTCCAGGACTCTGAGACCGAGAGGAAATACACTGCACTGCTCAGCTCCTGTTGCCATGGGGATCAGACACAATGTCACCAGAGGGGCCAAGCTGTGTGTGTGTGTGTGTGTGTGTGTGTGTGTGTGTGTGTGTGTGTGTGTGTGTGTGTGTGTGTGTGTGTGTGTACATTTTAGTTCATACAGACTGTTTAATAAAGAACCATTCTGCTTGTTAACTCAGGGTTATTTTTCCAGACGATGATGATTATGGGAAGTGTAGGGTTTGTGTGTGCGTGTGTGTGGTGCTCCTCACCTCCTCCTCCTCCTCCGCTGCTCTTTTTGGCTCAGGCAGAGCTCCTGCAGGGGAGGAAGACGTAGTTATTAGACACTCATAATTTAGCTTTCATGGTTTAACATGGTGACAGTCATCATGGAATGGCAGTGATTTAGTTCCTGACAGTGGCAGCTCTTAAAAGCTCAGAGCAAATGTGTGTGTGGTACCGCTGAGGTGCTCCTCAGTGGGCAGCACGTCACACATCTTGAAGAACTCTTCTGTCTCTGCGTCCACCACCAGCAGGGACGTCTCCTCGCCTCCTGCTTTGATCGCTGCAACCACCTCCGAGTGCTGCATGTCCTTCACTGACACGCCGTTCACCTGAGGAGGCAGGAGACGGGGGGAAAAGTTATTCGTTATAGATCCTCTAACCAGAACACAGTCTTATTCAATGTTTTACCATAAAATAGTTATCTTATCTTTTTGTAGCTTACAGCTACATTTAAAATCCTCTCAGAAGCTAAAACCATAGTTTTTTTTTTAAAACTACAATTCACTAATAAACATTTTTGAAGATTAGTTGTCAGTTGTTTGGGTAATCACTAAATCATCTCATCACTCGGGCAGTAGTGTAGTGGGGATTTTTTTACTGGGTGGACGGGCCGGGTGGACACACTATCTTATAGATCTTATGGCTCCGTTCCTTTCAAAGAGCCGTTCAAAAGAGCCGTTTTTTTTAAAGGGGGCGGGGTTACTAGGTTTACCTGCGAAATAATCACCAGGATAATGATTGACTGTATTGCCAGACCTAATGTCAATAATCTGCATTGTAAACATGACACAAGGTGGCGCCATATCCATGTCATTCATGTCAGTGAATGTACTTTGAATTTACCCTCTGTATGTGTCAAGTAAATAAAGTTGCCTTGCCTTGAATGAAATTCACGCAACTCTTAATATTAGATACTGTGTTTTTAAGTGGCGATGGAGATTCTTTGTTGACCCTGCTTTAAAGGACATTTTGCCTTTACAAATGGTGCGCTTTATCACTGCCTGGGTTTTGGTTGAAGTGCATCCAAATGCTTTTCGCGTTTGGCTCATTTTCCATCTGAAAAACACGTGGTCTACCTGTCCTGTACCACTTGTTATGACTTCTTTCTCTCGCGTATTCCGTTAAGACCCACCCCACCTCACTCCTCGTGCTGAAACCTATCAGAGTAGGGGCGGGTCTTCACAGAATACGTTTGGGGAAACAAAATCAAGCTTTTTAAAAGGCGAGTGGATTTTGGCAGGCGGTGAGTGCGGACCAACGATTGAACGATAAAAAGAACGGCTCTCACTGAGTACGACTCGGTTTCCCTCATTCGTACCAAAGAGTCGTTCAAAATAATCGGCTCGTTCGCGACCGACACAACACGCACACAAACGGGCACTTTCTCATTTCACTAATTCCCCTCCTCGACTCCCCTCCTCGACTCCTATCCTCAAGACTTAGTCCCGCCCACAGGAGATGCGAGCAGAGGAGCCGAGGAGGGGAACCGAGGAGAGAGGAGGGGAAGCAGCAGGCGGTTAGAGAAATGAGAACTCCTCTCCTCTGAGCGGTCATTTTAAATTGACGTCCATTAATGATGACAGGAGGCAGCAGCCCTCTGTCTGATGGACTGATGTGTTCATGACCACTTATATATTGACTTTGATTCATTCACAGTGCGGTATAATGAGACAATACAGGCTACAGATGCGGAGACACACACACACGTATATATTTATATAAATATATACCATTTCAGAATCAAACAGAGCACTCTCATAATAACGTAACACTATCAGAGACTGGATATAGTGTTACGTTTATCGCCCCTCTCTGGTCGCTACAATGCGTCGTTACGTTTCCTCTCTGTTCGCTACAATGAGGAAAATAAATTACGGGCCAACAGTTTTATTTACAAGTATTAAAAGTAAGCAGAGGACACCAAACCAACTGAGACCTGTCTGTCCGCCGCATCTACGCACCAGAGGTGTGGACTCGAGTCACATGACTTGGACTCGAGTCACACATTTTATGACTTGAGACTCGACTTGACAACATCACAAAAGACTTGCGACTCGACTTGGACTTGAACACCAATGACTCGGGACTTGACTTGGACTTGAGCCTTCTGACTTGAGGTGACTTGCTACTTTAATTCAGAGGTCTCCAACACGCCGATCGCGAGCTGCCGCTAGAAGAGCAGACTCCCGTCGGGGAGAGCAGAATCTTCAGCCGCTCCTACTCTTGCTGAGAATCCTTGCAGGCAGGGGCGGGTCTTTATTTAGCTGGGCCACCATGCGGCCAATCATATGCGAGGACACACTAGGATCATACCATTATGTGAATGAAGGGTGGGGGGCACAGCAGCTGTAGTGGTACAGGCCAGCTGCACAGAGCAACGGGGAGACGGATTTAAATGCCAGCGCGTCGGAAAAAGTCAAGAAATGAGCGAAAACCGAAAAAAGAAGCAGCATCTGGCTGCTTTTCAATGATATTGGAGAAAGCAAAGCTGAGTGCAGGATTTGTAAAATGAAAATAACCTTCAGAGCAGGGTTTGTTTTTGGTAACCACTCAGGATTTATTGTCAGAGGTGGGAGAAGTTCAGACAATTAAAACAAGTTACAATCAGGGTTCCCGCGGGGTCTTAACAAGTCTTAAAAAGTCTTACATTTGATAATCAGAATTTAAGGCCTTAAAAAGGTCTTAAATATGATTCAGAAGGTCTTAAAAATTATCGGATTTGAAAGGTATTTCTATGTTGCGACAGCGTCTAAATGTGTTTTGGGGGAAATGTTTGGGCTGCAAAGTAACCAGTAGCCTACGGTAATAGCCTTTCAGTTCCCCCCAACAATTTGTATTGAATTAAATCAACATGGAACCAGTAATCACTAACTTTGTTTCCCCCGGCCCCTTACTGGAGAACACCCAGCTAGTAACCTAGCAACCAAGCTTCAGCTCATGTAGCCTATCTTCGAATCTACTTATAAATAAATATGGGGAAGTGTAAGTTCAACCGTATTTGGTTGGAAAACATCTAATTTAGTGCTTGGTTGAAACCAGTGGAGGGAACGTGTTTGAAGCCCGCTGCATCTTTTGCAAAATAAATTAGTGTTTGTTTTGCTAATGTAGCGTTAGCTAATGTAGCGTTAGCTAGTGCAGCATTAGCTAATGCAGCGTTAGCTAATGCAGCAGCAGCTAGTGGAGGGTTAGCTAGTGCAGCAGCTCCCGCAACAACACCGGGGGACCTCCGGGCGAAGTTTGGGTCTACGTCAACCCTAAAAGCGGAGGTGCTGTAGACGCTAAATACCGTAGCTAAACACCAATCATACAACAGCAACGATGAAATAGTGTAGCCAAGGCAGCAGAGCTCTGAATATAGCTCACTCTCTCTCAGACACACACACACACACACACACACACACACACACCCACACACACACACACACACACCCACACACACTTTTTGTCTAACACGCTAACACAGTTTTGTACTGTTACGCTGTTGTGTTTAGTCACTGTTCTTATGTTGAAGTACCACCTGCAGAGGGATCTAGATGCAGGTGTTCTCTTCCCCATAGAGACCGCCTCGCTGCACATTATCCCTTGCATAGAGATAGATTGTGGGTCCCTATAACATGTTGTACACAGTGGAAATAAACATTCTGGTCACCTCAACATCAGGGATCTTATACATTAAACTCCTTCTGAATCAAACCGTCACGGTAGCCTAACCTTACCCTCTTAAATTAGAAAAACACACGTTACTTTACCAGCAGAGAGAAAATGGATTATGAAATTATTAATGTGACTAATAAAGAGCAGTTTGATAATTAAGTATTATTCTGTTGATCGATGTCATTACATTTGGTGAAAAACACATAATGACTTATTTATGACTCATTTTGTCAAAGTTTAGGACTTGACTTGACTTGAACTTGCCCATCCTGACTTGAGACTCGACTTGAACTTGAGCGCAAAGACTTGAGACTTGACTCGGACTTGCAAAACAATGACTTGGTCCCACCTCTGCTACGCACACACCTACACCACACACACGCACCTACAGCTCCTAAAACAGGCTACAGCCGTTGTGTATTTTATTATGTGAAGCACTAAATGGTCTTAGAAAAATATCGTCTCTTTGTTTGTAGATATCTTCTATTTGATGAAATGAGAAAGGACCCAAGTGCTTTGCTTCACAAACCCTGTGATTAGTCCTCAAGCTCTGTGATTGGTTGACCTCCAACTGCATTCCATATGAAAAAAAACGTTTCGTAAAAGATAAAATCATACTTTATTCAGCAGTCCTTGCTTTACTCTTTAAAAGTCATCACATGAATGCATTGTAATAAATGGTTCGGCTGCATTAAATATTACACATCCAGTGGCGGCGCCAGAGATTTTCTCTAGGGGGTGCTGTGGGGTAGCTTGACGTTTCATAGAGGGTGCTCAAACATTAAGGGTTAAGCGCTACAATTTTCTACTGCAACACTCCCCACACGCACACAGTGTACCCGCGACTGTTACAATGAAGGCTCGATAATCAGCTCACGGCATATAGGTGTAAGCAGGGGTAAAAGGCTATTTTTACAAGTGGGGGGTGGACATCACCTCCTCTAGGGGGGTCCTCACCTTCTCTAATGGGGTCCGGGGGCAAGCTCCCCCGGGAAGATTTTTTTTTAAATATTGAAGTTAAAAGCCTCAATCTGGTGCACTTTGAGAGCAACATTAAGAGATCTATGGATACCTCTCTCAACACCCAGATGAAACAGAACTGTAAACAGATTTTCTATTTCTTTATAGATATTTTACAAATCACTCCCCTTTTAAAACAAACCGTTTGAGACACACTGAGATAACTAGACTAAAGTTAACTATCTAAACACTGAGAGAGTCCTTTAAAAAACATATTTCTTGGGGGTGCTTTGGCAATCCTGGGGGGTGCTTCAGCAGAATAGACCGGAAACTATTCTTTTACCGTTCTGTTTTAATTTCACAATAAAGTTAGTAATAATATTTTGTTTTGATATTATTGTTTTTTATTAACTACTAGACCGCTGGGTCATGTTAAGACCATCTTTTCTGTGTTGCTGTTGGGTTTTTCCATCACTTTTGTGTTACAAATATCAAAACAATAACTAAATGTATCCGTCGTAAACTAAACCAAAAACAGCAGTATATTTTATTTTGTTAACACTGTAAACTTGACAGCTTTTTAACCCAAACCACCTACTGGTTAAAGCACGTTATTACACGTTTAGAGTCATTGCAATGCAGGTAGATTATGTTGCTTTTTAATGACTGTTTAAAATGCCTTTTTCTTAATGTCTTTCATTTTTGTAAAGCACTTTTGAATGTGTTATATTTTATGAAAACATTTAAATATTAAGAGTACATACAAAGTAGAAGGTCAATGATATAAATATAGAATAGAAAATATCAAGAAGATACTGTAAATGATATCTAGAATAAAACAGGTTAGTGCCGGATGTACAAATATATTAATAGGAGGAGGTGCAATATTAAGCCTGACAAAGTAATTAATATGACAGTTTAATGGTGGAGGTACACACATATTGATAGATGTCTTGTTGAGGAACCTGTGACCCAAGTTTGTCATCATTGCATAACTACACCGTAGTTGTGTATATGATATGTCAATAAACCTTTGAACATCTTGAAATCTTGAAAGGGATGTGCAAAATATCAATTATATGCAGTCTTTAATGAACGATTAGAGAATAACGAGTAATGAATATACTTTAAACGGATCTGCAGATACATGTTTAGTCTTCTCAAGCACCAACTATCAAATATCTCTCCTGATTGTTGGCACTTGACAATCACCTTCACTGAATTTCACTCAGGCGTAACTAAAGTCAGATTTAAGGGATGTTTATATTTCACATCATTAATCCAAATCTGTAAAGTAACTAAAATAAATGTAGTGGAGTAAAAATACCAGGTTAACCTTAAAGAAAGCCCTCAGGAATATAAAAGACCCCCATCACCCCAGCCACAAACTGTTCTGTCTGCTGCCGTCTGGCAGGTGGTACCGCAGCATCCGGACTAAAACCACCAGACTCAGGGACAGCTTCATCCCACAGGCCATAAGACTATGAAACACCTGAACTTAGAAACAACCATCCATAACATTCATCTGGCTGATACTTAGAAATTATTTATCTAATATATCATATTCCAATCCCTTGTATTTGAACATTACATGAAACATTACATCATGAAAACATTATGATGTAACCTTTGCAAAATACTATTATTGTATTAATAGATCTTGAGTGCATTATAATATTTCTCAATAAGAAATTATAGTTTTCTCCATGAAGCACCTGTTAGCGTTAGCAGTTAGCTCAGTGCAGGACTGGCTGCTACCAGCTAATATTAGCTAGCTCAACACAGATTTGTTGTTCACATTGAAGCAACATCAGAGAAAATCAGGTGCTTCGTGACAGATGCCTGACTATATTGATATGATTATATATTTCATTATGTCTGCAAGTGCCATATAAAGTATTGTAATAACCAGAAATGTGAATGCTTTTCTGTGTGCACATCTGGAATTGCTGCGGTAACGGCTTGAGATCAGGTAAACAGATGTGGAGTCACTGTTGCAGATCTGTAACCAAGGCAACAGCCAGCAGCAGGTAGCATACGGCAGGCTAACAGAGGAACTCACACAGATCAATGAACTCCCACAATGCCTCAGTTATTAAATATTGAACACTTTGGGCCTCCATATTAAAGGTGGAACATGTTATCACTTTAAACTTGTATGGGTCATATATTCGTATTCAATTTAAGATATCATAAAAGGCATCATTAAAAATGACTGATGATTACATTATCTAAAAACGATTATTTCTACTTCACCTGAACTACGGATCCCACATGACAGCTGTTTAAAATGAAAATACTCCAGTGTTTTAAGTCTGTGAATGATGATTTTCGTATGGTAAGGGAAGATGCCAATGTTGTTGATGTAGTGAGGAGTGATGATGGATAGAAGAGTGGAGTGTTACTACAGGGCACCAGCACACTCCCACAGCCCAAACTAATCGACTCCTGGGAGATAAGGAACTGAAGAATTCTGGGGGAGGAAGGTCCAAGGTGGGAATATCGTCAGGAATCTCTAGGTGTACTCCCACAGGCTGTGGACATTGACAGCTGGTACGGAACATTCTACTTCATTCCTCTTCGGTGACCCTCACAGAAAGAGCTTTCATCTCACTGAGTCTGTACAGTTCTGCTTTTATTTCATTAATACTATCTCTGCCCCCTCCTGCAGGGTGGGATTAGTAAATGGATTAACGCAGACCCTGTTCAACACGGCTTCAGACCTGCTGTTTACACAGTGACACAGTGGGAGGAAGCAGGCAGTGTGTGTGTGCGTAGAATGAAGTGTTTTTGGATCTCTTATGAGCGTGTATGAAATAAATGCTACAATAGCCCTTTAAAAAGCAGTGGACAGTATTCATTAGTATTCCTGAAGTATCTATTATTCAAAGCACACAGTGGATTCCCCGCTGTGATTAAAAAGTATTCTGTCTGCTAACTCACTGTTTCTTTAATAGCTGTCAGAAACCTGATCTGCGTGCAGAGTCTTTCTGTTCTCATCCTTCAACTCTGCTCTACCATTTCACTCCATCCATATCCATTCAGTGTGTGTGTGGTACCTGGAGGATCTTGTCCTGTGGTTTGAGTCCGGCCTGCTGAGCAGGAGAACCGTCGTCAACGGCCCTGATGAACTGCCCCGGCCTGGACTTCTCACTGTGAAGGTTGAAGCCGTAACCGCTGCTGCCTTTCTGCATGTGGCAGAGACGAGGCCGCAGACCCCCCTACACACACACACACACACACACACACACACACACACACACACACACACACACACACACACACACACACACACCACACACACACACACACACACACACACACACACACACACACACACACACACACACACACACCAACACACACACACACACACACACACACACACACACACACACACACACACACAACACACACACACACACACACACACACACACACACACACACACACACACACACACACACACACACACACACACACACACACACACACACACACACACACACACACACACACACACACACACACACACACACACACACACACACACACACACACACACACACACACACACACACACACACACACACACACACACACACACACACACACACACCACACACACACACACCACACACACACACACACACACACACACACACACACAATTATTTTGGGTGAAAAGTTTGATTTATTAGGACATTGACTTTAGAAATCCACAATTCTTCACAATCTCTGAAAGGTATGGATGTAACGATGCATTGTGAACCGGTTAAAAATCGGTACAGCTGCGTTAAGATTAAAATCGGTTGAGCTAAAAAAACTAATCGCGATGCAATTGTTTTAAACGGCCCAGGGTGTGAACTAATTTGTATTTGATTTGATTAGCTGGAACAGCGGTCTGGACAAGATTGAATGCCATCGAGAACAACAACTTGCCATGGCAGCTGCTCTCCTCAATGCAGACGTCCGACGAAATCGACACACTGGATAACTCGGACATCCGTGATGCCGAGGAGAATGGGCGTAATTTCCAAAGCTATGAGAACTACGCACATTTTCGTTAACAGAACTACAGATGTTAATATAATTTCTGTTCGCAGCAGAGTGTACATCTCTAATACTCCTGTCTTTATGGTCATCAGCAGGAAGAAATCAATAACCAGCCATGTGACCAGTAGAGATTAAATTAAGGTGACATATGATACATATTTCATTGTATGTTGTATGCTATTATCTCAGATTTCTCCAATACAGTCCTACAGATTCCACGGCCACACAACCATCACATGTCAGGGAGGCACTTCATATAACTTCCCTATACATACCGTTTGTATGATGCGTATTTGCAGTGGTGTAATGTAACTACGTACATTTACACAAATACTGCACTTAAGTACAAAATTGAAGTACTTGTACTACAGTATACTTGAGTATTTTCACATTTGGCCACTTTATCATTTTACTCTACTACATTTTGTAAGCTAATGTTTAAGTTTTTGCTCCACTACCTTTATTTTACATATTTAGTTTAGTTGCCGTTATATTTAAATAGACACATATTGTAATATATTATCATAGGTCAAGCTACCCAGAAGTATGTAAGGTAATTCAAAATAAACCCCACTTTTACCAAATGCAACATTAAAGTGATGAACACATTAATGCACCAATTTGGGATCAATAAAGTACATCTTATTTTATCTTAAAATAGCCATTTTGCATAACGTGTACTTTTAATTTTGTTAAGAGTCTCTTTTTTTTTTAGCTAATACTGTTTACTTTGACTTATGTACAATTTTGAATGCAGGACTTTTACTTTAGCACAGTATTTTGTATTGCTACTTTAACTTAAGTAAATCATCTGAGTACAGACATGTGGATTGCAGACATGTATGGGAGCCAATTCCTGAAAGGAAAATAAAAACATTGCACTTTCTTTGTCGTTTCATTATTCATTTAGTAACACATACTCCACACCCATCTCTAGCAAACATGTGCTTGTGCCCTGATAAGAAGCTCCACCTGTTGCTCTTATTAATGTGATAAACGCTCAGCTATCTACACTATCAGTGTGTCTGCAAATGATTCCCTGACAAGCGAGCATTAAATATCAACCACTGCACGCTCAGCATTCAAGACTCGGGACAGACACCTCCCCATCCCCCCCACCCCTCAGCCTCTCACCCACACATATGGATTACACATTGAGTTGAAATGGCAGGGGGGTTGATGATTGCTGAAACATTCAGTGAGTCAGTGTGATGCTGGGTGGACCTTTGGATAGCACTGCACATTTATTACCCAGCAGACATAATCTGTGGCTGTTAATAAAGATGATCAGGATGATTTAACAGGTGAGGTGCAAAGTACACAACCGGAGGGCTGAACACTACAATTATCTCACTCTAAATATCTATCTACTGTGTATATATATATAAATATATTTGTAAGTTCCACACCAATATGGCACATAGTGACACATACTGCAGGAGAACATTTGAGTACTACTTTCTCTTTTCAGTGATTATTCATGTCTGCGTACACAGGAAACAGCAGGTTGAGCAGAGCGAGTGCTGCATGATGACAGCCTCTCCCCAACATGCTATCACTGACATCATTTACAATGTGTGCTGCTAACACATGCTGTTGGGAAGAGTTCTCTGGTGGAAAATACCATATCTGTATGTCAGACCTCAGAAACACAACAGAGATGTGCCACCCACAGCAGCAGTGAGAATGAATCAGTTGAAGTGCGATGGTACGAGAGGCAGCATTGTAAACATTCCCCAAGCTGGTTATTATGCGAGGTTAATGGTTTTACAGCTGTAGTTAAACATCAGATCCTGTGTTTCCAACAGGGTGCCACAATAAGAGCTGGTGGGAGGACCTTGAACTGAGGCTGAAACATTAACTGTGTGAGGAGAAACATTTACATAGAGAGAAAAAGCTACATCTCAACATCCTGATCTTTTCCACAAAGATAGGGGTAACACCTTACAGGGCTGTGAGTGCTGCACCTGCTGAGACACTCCGCCAGCTCAGTCCACCTCCATGCCTCGGTGCGATGGAATTTCAGAATCAGAAATCCTTTATTAGTCCCACAGCGGGAACATTTACAGCAAAAAGTGGCATAGCAGGTTAGTTATACTAGAACAAACGAAATCACTGAATTTACCAGTACATAGCATTACATATACTATTCCTCTGAACACATTGTTTGTGATTCTAATAAGAAACGAAATATTAATAGATTTAGACAAAGATCTTTTGCTGAATAAAGAATTGTGGAAAAATGTGTTTCAATTCAAAGTAAGCTATTACTTTTAGTAAAGAGTAAGCACAAACAGAATGCAAAGTAAGAGAGGGGATGACATGAGGGCCACAGGTGGGATTGGGTCCTTAGCCTAGTCGGTAAGCTGTTACAGCTGAGACCCAAAATGTTCTTTTAATAATCATTGATATGTTAGCTTGGGTCTTTGATAATGATTAGCTGAGCCACGTATAAACCAAGCGGCAAACTCTGGGGAACAGCCGGGAAGCCAATACGGAAGTGCCACACACTGCAGTTCATACATGGGCCGCTAGGGACTGGCTGCAGAAAGGAGCAATTTCCATAGACCCCCATGTTAAAATGCCCAACTTTACAGCAGAAAAAAACATGTTTCTACTAGGGATGCACGATATTGGTTTTTTGAAACCGATACCGATACCGATAACTTCCTGCTTCTCAAGACCGATACCGATAATAAAAAAAATGTTACGCCACTAATTATTTTAACGCGATTAACGCATGTGTATTTTTTTTCCTCGGCCGCCCCGTAGTTTCAGAGCGCATCGAGTTTAAAATACCATCTACAAGCTGATGCTGACAGCCCCGCTCCTGCCGCCCGCTTGTGGCAGACCACACTTCCACGCTCACCGGCAGGCACCGACTGGTTGTTGGGAGGACCGGGAGGGTGTGTGTATGTGTGGCCCGAGCGAGCGAGAGAGAGACCTTACGTGCATTGTTGTTGTTAGCATCTGGTGCTAGCTAGCTGCGCTAACGGATATACGGAGCTGTTTCAATGAAAACAGAGGAGCGACATTTCGCCACAACTGCGCCGAGCACTTGACTTTATGCAGGAAGCCAGACAGTGGGACATTGTACGAAAAGTCAGCACACTCAGCACGGATAGTGCAACATGATTGTAGCGTCCAGGCAGCTCCGGTTCGAGCATATGCCTTGAGTTGCACATAGCTCCAACGCCCATACCACCGACGACATGTTTGTTTACTGTCCTGGCTTCAAGGCCGCACACCATTTACGTCACAGCCAGGCATGAGTTAGGGAGCGCTGGATTTGTGAAAAACTCCCCTCTTCCTAAACCACTAATACCACAGTACTGGCAAAACGGGAGGAGCCGAGTGAAAAACAAGCGCCCCTCATCCCAATCCACCCACACCGCAGTATTTTTTCTTTTTTTTTACCCAAAAAATATATTGTATATTATCGGGGCTATTAATACTGGTATCGGGTTTATCGGGATGACGTCATAATTCCTAATATCGGGCCGATAATTATCGTGCATCCCTAATTTTTATCAAAGAACCTAGGTATGAAAGAAAACAACAGGCTGTAATTTTAATGATCAATTAATCTATCTTTTTTTTCAGTTTCAAAAAACAGCGTGGACAAGCTGGCCCTAAAGTGCTGGGACACTGGACCTGCAGAGGAAGATCATGTGATCCAAAAGATCCAGAGCAGCTCCTGAATGAGAGGAGACTGTACCTGTCACTATTTCAACTAATCGCTTTGTCTGTAAAATGTAAAAATAATAAACAACCACATCAAAATGATAGGTATGTCATTACAGTGATGGAAAGTAAAAAAGTAAATTTACTCAAGTACTGTACTTACAATTTTTAAATATTAACTTGAAATCTACTCCACAACATTTAAAGTGAAATAATGTAATTTTACTCCCCTATATATATTAATTCATGTTTTATTTATTAAGCTTTAGTTACTTTTTGGATTGAGATGTTGCATTAAAAAACATGTAATACACGTTTAACATAATGCATCTCTGAGAATGTAACTGTTGGACTAACTGTTTAAGGTACGAAAAAGCAACATTATACAATATGTTACAAAAACATAAATAATTTGTCTATCAAAAACATTGTTTGTCAAACATACATAGGCCATATTTCTTCAGAATTCATATTTTTAAGTACATTTTCTCTTGATACTTCTGTA